TGTTCCGCATCTTGTATTCTCAATCGAATTTTCACGTTGGACCGCACACAGCTGTGATTTAATCGCAGCTACTCCTTCAAAATAAATTTTTCAAAAAAATATTTTTCAATTAATATCTTGCGTTATATATTGCCCAGCCCCGTTCGATATTTTTAAATCGAGAACATCACTGTCATGTCATCACGTGCGAAAAAAAACACATTGCGTGTGTACATCGCGTTATGTATTACAAACTTTCCCCCAAGTATATGATAAGTAATAAAAATAGAAAAGAGAACGACCGCTCTTCCATAGCCACCACATTACAATTCACAGCGAAATCTAAACGTGTAACCGAGGTACGTGCTTTAGTCTCACGTATATTTCGAACTGAAATAAGACTATCAGTCTTTTTGTTCCTTTTAGAAGAGAAATTAGCGCACGCGTAAGAGATACACGTAATACGTCGTGAGAGATATTAACGCGTATATAATGTTGAAAAACATATAAATATACGCAATGCGCGCATAATCACTAATATTATCATTATGACAGATCATAAAAGAGCGATGTCTCGCGTCGTTGCAGGAAACGCTTCTTCCCGAGGCGAAGCCATAGACGAAGATAATTTATTTCATCTTCGTTTCAGTCGTTTCGAAACGGAAACGTTCTACAACAAACGCCAAGATAACATTAATGGGAACCTCGAAGAAATCTTCGTGATTGATTCACGGGTTGTGCGAGAAATCGTGGTGTCGAAATCCCTTCGTTACATTCAGCTTTAATTGCGATTCGCAAGAGCGAAGCGGTTCTGAGTCATAACCCGCGCCTCATATACTTGTCAGAAGAATGAATATATATATATATCATACCTATACAAGGGTACACTCGTCCCTTCTTGCGTAAGTCCTTCGCTGTACAGTCATACGGAGAGCACCGACACGAGCATTCCTATACGCTCGACGTCGGATTTCGATATTAAAACTTTGTCGCATAGTGGATATATTACGTTCTGGCTTGATCATTAAATTACCGATAAAAATAAGCTTCTGCAACGGTTTCAGTGACAATGTCACGCACTGCACTTTGTGATTCTTTCACCAACGATGTCGGAAATCCACGTAATAATACCACGACGAGTCGATTTTTAGTTAATTTCCAGTCAATGCTGTTCTCCCACAGTTAGCTTATGATCAACACATGTAAAATCTGCGGATATATTATGTACAAGTAGTTTCTAAATCCGCGTTGTGCATCTCGATCCGATTATCTTGATGACGATGATGATAGTAATGATGACGATGATAGCAATGATATTTTATCGATGTTTATTCATCTTTGGTTGGGGCGATGTATGCTCGTTCGAACGTTCGTGGATCCTCGGACACTCATCACGAAACTTCTTCACGCACATGTCCGCCCAAACGATATTTAGAACAATTTAGTCTCGCTCGTGCTACTTTTCAAGCATTATGATACTGGTTCATCATCGGCTAAATTGTGAAGATCCGAGTAATTCACGATGGCACGATGAAGAAATTCATATTGCGCCTATAACATATGATAATAAACGTTACGCAAAATACAATTTATTTAATTGTAATTAATAATAATATTATCAATGAATAAATAGTGAAGCTTTAGAAAAAAAAAAAAAAAAAGAATAAACATATAAAACAAGACAATCAAAAATATAGATACGTAAGTATAATTCAATTTAAAAAATTCTGAAATTGTTGTATCAAAATTTACAAAACACCATATTTTTACAATGTAATTTGGAAAGGATCATCGAGACACTTACAAAGGTGTTGATCATGCCGTGTCGCTGAGAACGCAGTTTCTTCGTCGTGGTGAAGATGTCCACGCGCTTTTCGGTGCGCAGCTGCTGAACCAGTATACTAAGCGCCACAAACATAGAACTCCGGTCCGACCCATAGCTGCAATGCACGACCAGCGAGCCGCTCGTCTCGGTGTCGTTCGTCAACGTCTGATCCACCAGCTCGATGAGACCGCGCGTCACCTCAGGTACTTCGCCCTCCACCGTGGGCCAACCATGATACTGATACTGTTTCACGACTCCGCTCTCGTCAGTCTTCGTGTTCAAAATGCAAAATTCACGACGTGTATAGTACGGACAGCTCTCGCTGTGAATGTAACGGACCCTTATGTGATCGTAATCGGTCTCGTCGTCGGGCCAATAGCGTGGACATTTCCGTGGTCCTTCGTTCAACTGGAAAAGGTATTATTTATTTTATATATGATTATAATCAATGTAAGATCTATTTCTTTTCTTCGAGAAATATGCTTATTTTTTATTATTAAAATCGGGGACCCGATAAACTTCTTTCTCCCGATTGTACACGTAGAATTATTTTTATTGAAAAAATTATTGTATTGGTAAAATTTTAATTACGTTACGAATGAAGAAAGAAACATATCGAAAGTTTTCATTAATTCTTTAAAAATTTTTATATGAAATTGCGTACCATGTATATTATATTAACGCAATATTCATGCATTTATATGAATTTTTTTGCAAAAATTGAACAAATTTAGCAACACGAAAAGAATAAAAATAAAAATATGTAACATATACTTACGTCAGATAACATAACTATCGTAGAGATGCATTGTTCTGAAATCATTCGCCAGAAATCCGTGATGGTGATCTCCAGTGGATCTTGCGTAATCACGAACGACTCGGAATTATCGTAGCCTTCGATAAATGACGCGTTTATGTACGTCGAGTGTTCCCTTCCCGGAACCGGGGTGAGTATTACACGATTTCTATCATACGGTATCACCAATTCACTTCTGTTTTTCGATCTATTTTCGTCTCCGCCACCAACGGAGAAGGACTTCCGATCTTCCAAAACGGAACTGATTTTCTATAAATAAAAAAAAATTTAACGTCTTTTACGTTAACGTTACGTTATAGAAAAAAATGAATTTGTTTTTCAACAAAGTTGTTGGAAAAATTCAAGAATACAGAGCGACGTTACATGTTCACTGAATATATATATATATTTATAGCGTATTGGATATTGGTTATTCGACATACGAGAATATAACGTTTTCGTAGGTAATTCGTTAATCTATCCAATACACAAATAGAACAATAGCTGTTCGGAAAAGAATTGATCTAAAAATAAAATCAAGATAAAATAATACAGGAAATAACTTTGATACAAACTGTACTTTTATCAGAATGTTGGTAAATATAATTTAATTTGCAGATCTCAAAAATAAAGGTAAATGTGAAAAAAATTTCTTATAACATCTAACTCTGCGCTTATAACTTACGTCGTACTCTTCCTCCATTCTGCATTTCTCTTTCCCATTGTCTCGTTGCCTGAGTTTGGCGACTGTAGTCTTGAGTTGCGATGCCGGGATCTCCGTGTCACCGTACTGCGCCATCTCCATGAGCGCGCGATAAATAAAGATGTATTGCTTAAGTGACTGCACGAGGAAGTTACGCTGATGTCGCAAGTCGCATACGGTATTGAAGATGGACACCTGACCTTCCTCAGCTAGTTGCTGCAATAGCGAGTCCAACGCCACGAGTGTACCGGTGCGGCCCACACCGGCGCTACAGTGCACCAGGATAGGTCCCTTCTCGAGCGAATATGCCTCGTTGACGCGTTTAATGAAGCGTAGAATCGCGTGGGGATGCTCAGGCGCAACAAAGTCCTTCCATACGAGGAAGTGATACTGCACAATTGCACGGGAGTCGCGTTCGCCTAATCGCGTCATCTTCAATTCGCGCACCACATAATCTGAATAGGCGCGCTCCTTGACGTGCTCCACCGTGATGTCGCCGAAGTTCTTGGTCTCGCGCTTGTCAGGCCAATACTTGGCACACTTGGTCTTTGAGTACTCCTCGAGATTCGTCAGCATGAGTATCAGTTCAAGATGTTGCTCCCAAATCATGCGCCAGTAATCGCACACGGTGTTTTCCATCGGACCCTGGGCGCAGATAAACTTTTTGCGTTCTTTGTAGCCCAGCACGAAGTTGGCATTGATGTAATCGGAACCGCAGATACCATCTATCTGCGCTAGGCGTACTCTCGTCTGATCGTAACACTTGATGTCTGGATAACGATTTTTATAGAGGTTTTCCTGCGCTTCGGACGCACGCGTCGTTCTGTCCGTAAATCGGTCAGGTAACAACTCAAACTCGTGTTGGAAACCGTAATCTGAATCCCGATGGCGGTCCAAGTATGCCTGTAATAGCTCGTTCTTTGGTATGGGTGGCATATCCGGCGGACTTGCCGCCACGAGCTGATGCCTCCCTCTCAGGCTTCTACAAAGATGTCTACGAAAAAAAAATCATCCATAAATTAAAACATTTTATTCTTTAAGAATTGATAATGAAATATTAATTATTATTTGTATAATTTTATATAAATTATTTATACATATGAATACATATAAATAATTTGTATGCATATTTACATGTAGCTAAAATTAGCTATTAAAATAGAAAGTATTTATTAAGCATTTAAGATACAAATTATAAGATAAAAAAATAGCGTTATAAGATACAAATAATATAAAATATGTTATTAGAATAATCTATGTAATAAAATATTTGTATAAAAAGTCATTTAAGAGAATGTTCGTTTTTCTTGATACTCACCTGAAACTATTGCGTAACGTTATAACTTCTTCCCTCTCTTGTGCTCGCTTCGTAAATCTATATAACACACACAGCGCAATAAAGAGAATCGTGAGAGTTAAAATTAGGGCGATAAAGAGCTGTATTATCATTTCTCTGATAGTAGTCGCCTCCGCGGCGGTTACGCTGAGAGGATCTACTCCGCCATAAAGAGGATTGAAGTAACTGCTATAAGCCGGTAAAAGCTCATCCTTCTGATTACCGAACACTGCAAAAAAATCGATCATCATTGCACTATCAAACTTAATGTCGTAACGATTTTATATGATATGTCGCAAAGCACCTCGCATCCCGCGAATTTATCTACAACCGTACGTACCGATAACTTCGATGAAACCGGTATAATTTGACGTTTCATCGAGGAAACCGTCGTAAGGCGATAAGATGCCAAATTCGCTAGATCCGTCCACGGACGCCTTTTGCAAAGGTGCGTCTTCTCTCTTCCGTCTCTCCATTTTTTCCGTAACATTAATAATCACAGGTACGGCCGTAGTTGTGTCAATGTTCGCGATGGTACTAATAGTGGTTGTCATTGATGTGAATGAGCTAAGAGTCGTGCTGCTACCAGTACCGTTCACAGTTGTCGTAGGCATCGATGTGGTTGTTGTCGTACTCGTAACGGTACTGCTCGTGTTGTTGGGGGTTGAAGTGGTCGTCGACAAAATTTCCGGAACAAAGTGCAATAACGGTGGTGCTGATTTGGGTCGTAAGCCGACACACTTGTCGCACATCGTACCGCCGCTGGACGACTCGCCGTCGCCGAGAAAGATCTCGGTCAACAGTTGATCGCTATCAAACGTCTCGGCAACATATGCACCACCAGTAGGCGAATTGTGCACATAATGATAGGAGTACACCGCGATTTCCTCAGGTGGCGGCAGATCGCCGACTGTCTTGTGCGGCGGCAGTTTCACCAAGTAGACACGATAGCAACAAATCGGGCCATTCCGTTCGGAAATGCGCGGTAGATAAAGCTTGAACAATTGCCTGCCCTGACTCTCGATCTTTCGCCAACTACGCATATTCATGTTATCGCGACTTGGAATCGCGACCGGCGTCGTGCAGTTTCCTATGGCGTCCTTACCAGGAGTACGAGACCTCGTCACTCCGTGCACCCGAACCTTTAATCAAATGGTTATTTTTAGCATTTAAAAAAAAAATAATTTGCTATTATAAATTAAAATAAAGTATAATTTCAAGTTATAAATTATTCCAATTCGGAAATAATTATTTTAATTAAAATTAAAAATTAGTAGAGATAATTTAAGAATTTACTTAATAATATTAGAGTGTATACCGTATAATTTGTATTGGGAGGTATCTTATTGTAATGTGTGCTGTTTCTGTTATAGACACTCCAACTGGGTGGTTCAAAGTTTTGAATGTCCAGACGTCCCATATCATTTTTGAATGTCGCTACGCCGCTCAGTTGTATATTGTAGCGTTGTATAATACCGTTCGGCTTCTCGGGAGGTTTCCACGTAATGGACATAAAACTGAAGCTGCTTATATTGTTGTAGCGACAAATAACGACGAGATTCTTCGGAGGACTGGCCACTGGAAGAGTAACGAATGCGTTTGAATGTTAATAGAACGTGAAATAAAACATTTTTTTCTTGTCATTCGCGCTGACACACCTCCATCCAAAGTGGTGCCGTTCACTTCAACACTCCAATTGCCGCATTGTTTCGTGTATTCGCTACAGGCAGCTATCTTAAATTTGTACGTAGTCGCCGGATCAAGATCCACGAAGGCGTACACAGTGAATGGCTGGGCGGGATACACCGCTTCTCTTTTCTGATCAGCGTGAGTGGCCATCAGATTATAATAGTGCACGTGTTCTTTCAAATCCGGCGGCGGTACGGTCCAGCCTATCGTAATCGAATTTTCCGTCACACCATTCACGGAAACTTTCGGCACAAATACTGGATCTACAATATATTTTTTAGAACTATATTAAAAAAAAAAAAAAAAAAGGGAAAAGGAATAAAAAAGCAAATTAAATCGAAATTAAAGTTAAAGCTACACTACTGGAAATGGACGTAAGAAATACAAAGTAGACGTTTAAAGGAGAAACTTGCGTGAAACTCTGTTTCAGAAATTATACCTTTCTCAAGCGTAGTAATCCACCGCGGATCTAATTGCATGTACGACGCGCCTACCGCATTGGTAGCGCTAATGCCGATTTGATACGCGGTGCCGCTCTCGAATCCCTTGAGAACGTAACTCGAATTACCGCCGCCAATCTGCTCGGCATAGTACTGCCGTTGATCCGTACCCTTCTTCATGTGCTGGATGAAGTATTTCTTAATCGGTTCGTTACCGTCGTTGACAGTCCAGTTTAGAAATATACTGCCGGCCCCGACCGCCTTCATAAAATCTATGCTGACTTTCGGCACGTCGATGACGAATAGATGCGTCGAGGCGCTCACCACCCCATTGTAATCGTTCGCTTGACACACATACGTGCCGTTGTCCTTGCGCGCCAGACTCGTGAACTCTAGAATCAAGATGGCATAGGTCTCGTTTATTTGCGCGACGATGGTGAGATCCTTCAAGTGTTCGCTGCTCTCTGAATCGTTCCCTTTCAACCAAGTAAATTGGGACAATGGATAGCCGTATATGTGGCACGTTAGGTTGGCCGCTTCCATCACTTTCGCCCTCACATCTCCGCCGGATACCACCTTGCCAGGTTCTGGAGGACAACGAGAGACATTTTAACATGAGAAAGTGTCATGCAAATCCTCAAACTGATTCTCGAAGTAAAAAAAAAAAAGAAAAAAGAAAGAATATGAATATCGTCCGCGAAATTCGAAATGCACGTATCGGAAAGATAAAACATTAAAAGCTCCTCGTGTCACCTATCACTCTGATATGAATGTTCCTCTCGAGGTATTCGCCGTCGGCGGTCTGCGCGGAACATTTATAGTCGCCCGTGTCGTTTCTGCTGGCCTTCTTTATGTCAAGTCGCCCGCCATACTCGAAGTCCTTGATGGTAGTGAGGTTCCTGTCGCCGATGCTCCACCAGACGTAACCGGGCATGTTGAGCTTGCATAACAGCGACGGTGTGCTGCCCGCCTCTATACCCTCGAAATCCTGCGACGATCGAATCTCCAATGACGCGGTCCGTTCGGCCTTCGGCTCTATCACCACTTCCGGTTTATCTATATCTATCAAAGTAAATAAATCCTCAGTATTAGCTCACAACGATGCGGGCAATAAATTTGAAATAAAAAATTCAAAATCTCTAATTAGCCAAGCCCATCGAGAATAGAGATTAAAGCATCTCCTTCTACTAGCAGAAAATCAAATTTGATACAAAATTTTCCAATCTTTCATTTTCACTTTCTTTTTAAAGCTCAATAAAATTAGATTTTTTTTTTTAAAATTGTCAACTTTGAAGTAGCACTTTCGATATTTTTTGCCAAGAAAAATCGTTGAATATTTGAATATTAATGCTGATTAATCGCGGTATGTGGTGAGGATATAAGATTTTCTTTATAAAACACAGGTAAATTTGTTGCATACTGCTGCTCCATAAATCGTTAGTTTATTTCGAATGTTTAATTTAATAAATTAATAAATTTAACTCGAATGTTAATTATGGCTTCTATTGTTCTAACAATTAATTGTTGACGAGTGCTTGATTTATTGTTATTTTATACATTGAACTTTAAACAATCTCTTTAAAGAATCATAAAAGTTATAATAAATATTTGATATTTGATATTTTTTGCCTATAAATGTATTAATAAAATCATTTTGATAATTTGATAATTAAATCGACCTATAGTATGTCGACTTATAGCGAAAAAAACTTTCACTTAAAAAATGATTTTTTAAATTCCTGTCGGTTTTCTCGCGGAACGCTTTATAGATTTATCTTCGACATTTAAATCTTCGCGAGATGAACCGGCGAGATGTCGAATTCGATTACGCAGCGCTAGCCCCTTTAATTCCTATACGCTATTCTTGTGCGATCAATGAAATCAAATTTAGCATTTAGTTCGCCAACGTTCGGCGACCGTTCATTTTCGATGAATAGAAAGATGACGGATGAGAAAAATCGTGCTCTTTTAATTGACAAATCCTCCATCGTTTCTATTCCATTCTATTCCGTCATACCTCTGCTCGTATGTGTCGGTTCTTGTCTCCATCCATAATCCATTTCCCTTATCTACTTTCTCTCGCGAGTCAAAGATTAATGATAAAAATACTTTTTATTCTTTTTCAAATAAGAAGCGCTTCCAGGCTCAATCAATATTGTCTCAAGGAATATTTCAAGCAGCGCTCTCTTT